TGAAATGCTCTTTTTTCTATAAACAAATAATTTTATTTTTCTAACACATGAAATAATTTAATACATGATACGTATTTTGCTTATTGAATGAGCGGTATTATGTCGCGAGATTGTGATCTAAAGTATCACATGAAAAATATTACGTTGTAAAATATTTTATCCAAAATATATAATGAACAATATTATATATTTCGCTATATATTTCGTTTTAGAATGCTAAAGATATTCTAATGTTACATTCCAATCGTGTATTAATTGAAATTATCTTTATTAATATTTAAATCCAAGTAATAGAATGAAAGAACTTATAACATATAAAAAAGTAATAGAATGAAAAAACTTATAACATACAACAAAATGATACTTCGCTTTTCATTCTTTAAATTTATTTCAATATTGTTTTCTGCAGTTTGTTTATTGTTTGTTTATTCAAATTGCTTGCAAAAGAACATACAAGAATTTTAATTTGATAATAAAGATAGAGTAACATTTTTATGACTTTTTTAATAAAGATAGAGTAACATTATTATGACTAATTATTTTTATATTATAATTTTTTTATTTTAAATTATTTTAAAATTATTTAATTATTTTAAATTATTATATACAATAAACAATGTGATAAATCCATTATTATTTGATAAATCATTATTAATAATATTATTAGAACAGATATTATTAGACCGGACAGTTTAATAAATATCATTGATTTATTACATATGACTAGTAAATATGAATATCGTTGCTATGTGTTTGGAGAGAAAGAATGATGAGAATAATATTTCTATATATGTATTATACATCTTCTTTGCTGTTACATGATTCGTTTATGTTATTTATCTGACGATAATGTAATTTATCTAAACCAAACCAATATTTTTAAAAAAATATGTTCATTGTGCGTTTTTGAACTTAATACGTAAGTAAATACATACGTACATACGTTTCATATTTATCAACATGGTAAGTTAAAAAGAATAATTTATAATATCTAAAATTTATAATATTGCTCAATTGTCATTATATTATATTTATATCATCTAGATTTATTATATTGTCCATATCATACATAGTATCAACATATTTCACAATTAAAAATAAGAAAAAAATATCGTATAGATTTTAGTAAGTTGTTATAAGAGGACGCGAAATCAATTTTTCGGATATTATTCCAACCAGTGGTTGAACGGCATGAAATTTTGAGGGAGGAAGAAAAATCTGACATATAAAATTTTGATTTCGGATATTTACTAGATATTAATAAAATCTCTTTACGAGATATTAATAAAATTATACAATATTGTACATTATAAAATATATACATCATACATTATAAAATAATACGTTATGTTACGTTAAATTCTGTCTGTATAAACATTATTAATCAACCGTTTTCGTTGTAATAGTCGTCGTCCGTGATTCTCAAATATTTAACGTAATATTGACATTTGTCCCATCTACAATCAATATCAGAATTTGTTTTTCAACACCATTTTTTAAAAAATTTTTTCGTATTTCTCGTTGAAAAAAATAGGCAACCGATACTGAAGCCGATATCCAAGAGTTACCTATCGACAATGGCTATTACAATATTAATAATATAACGGTGGGCCAAAAGTTTCTTCCCATTTATTTTTTTTAATAAAATATCAAAATATAAGAAAAAATTAATTTTATTAATTTTAAATTAAATTTAAGTTCAAACATAATTTTTTTATTATGTTTTAAAAATTTCTTTTCTGTTTCTTTCAAATGTTGAAATAAATATATAATAAAAAAATTACGGATTTATTTTAGGAAGTGATTTTTGGTCCACCTGTATTAATAATGTTTGTAAAGACAGAATTCAATATATCGCATCAAAAAGCTTTTTTATTAATATTTCAGGAATTAATAAATATCCAAAATTCAAATTTCATATTTAATTTCAATTTATAAAATTAATTTCTACGTTAGACAGATAGAACAGATCTGATTCATTGATCCTTAAACTTTTATAGAAAATTTCGAAGAAAGTTTTTAACGGATAGAAATTAATCTAAAGAATTCGTAATGTAAAAAAATTAATAAGAAATTTATAATGTGTTAAATTCAATTTTTCAAATGTTATCCTGTTTAACATCTATTGAATTTCTATATATATCGGATTTAATAAAAGACTAGCTGTATATAATATATATTAATATACTAAAGATTAATATATTAAATTAATGTACTAAAGATATATATATATATATATATTTTTAGTATATTAATTTCTTATATATTAATATTATGTTAATATTTCCGTCAATTATAATTATAGCCCCATAACAGTCAAAAATTTTTCAACATAATTTTACATGATATAAATCTAATTGATGATCTGTTGAAACAGCTTAGAGGACATCAGTAAAATTTAGAAAATATTTATATTTCATTGTTTGTTTATTATCCAATTTAATTTAGTTTATTTTATCCAATTTAATTAAATATCGCGTCGGTAAAATTAGTGAAAATGGAATTATATGTGTTGGACGAATTTTTAATATCGATTTATTTGGATATAAAACTTTGTAGGAAAAATCTTATTCTATATTTTTGACTTATTTTTCTATATAATATACAGGCATAAACTGTACTTAATAACTGCATTTAATACTTATTCTATATAGAATAACAAGTTACATAGACTAAAATTTAAAAAAAAAAGATATATATATATATATAGTTGACTTTTATATATTTTCTATATGTTCATCTGTAAAAAGATAATGTGTTTTGACATTCAACCTTTACCTATTTCAAACATAAGCAGTTTTCAAGCAATTTCAAGTCGTAGAATTATTTTAGTATTTCTACATATTAAAGAACAATGTATCTTTCATGTTTAATAATGTTATTTATTTTCTATTTGATTAAGAATTTTATAAATAATGGCAATATAAGAGTTAATGCAAATCATTATAAATTAGTAAAGAATTAATATTTACTACGTGTTCAAGATTCATAGCAATTGTTTATTAAGTAATAAAATAAATATGTTTTTTATATACATTTTTATATACATTCTATATACATTTTGAAATTCTAACAATATAATCGTGATAGTTGTCTCAGATTATGATGTTAATAAAATAAATTTTATGTAATACATACAATATAAACATAAAAGTTTTGATTAGTGTTTAAGTAAGTCATGATTAGTGTTTAAATATTTTTGTAAATCAATGAAAATTTATTTTCTTTTAGTTTGTATCAAAAAAATACCATGTATAATAATTAATAAAAGCAGTATTGATATCAAAAAAAAGAAAATTTAGTTTGCTGAGACATTTAATAAAGAATATCAATGTGTATTTAAAAAGTAGCAAGCAATATATTTTAATAATGTCTTATTACGATTAAAACATTCAAGGTCAAGTATAAATTTTAAATGTTTAAAAAATTACTTCATACGTGGTCGAACGGAATACTAGTGTGAGATAAAACGAAATATGGGGTTTCTTATTGTCAGTACATATGTATTTATTCTTTCTTATAATTATTAAATTGTAGACTAAAATTTTAGTTTCGCAGAAAAATAATTTTTTGGTCAGTAAACTAGTTTCTCAGCGATTTTTTAGTTAAATTGTTAATTTAAATTGTAATAAATAACATAATTATTTAATGTAGATGTTATTTATGTAAAAATTTTTGTTCAAAGAATGACATATATTTATTAAGTTTTTTTAGTTAGTAGTTAATAGTAAAAATAAAGATTTTATATTTTTTATTTTTTATATTTAAACGAATGTTCCGTTGTACTCCAACATTTCGGTGAAGCGAATATTTCAATACTTCTGTGATCTGAAAATGTTATTTTTCTTTATAGCCTAGTACTTTTCTTAATAAAATATTTCATTTTCTTGTAGTCCATGGCCTATATTTAAGACTTCCACCGAAATCCATATCTTTTTGGTTTCTAATTGTTTGTTTCAACAATCTAAAATTAAGTCTGTCGCATTCCAGGTTTTCCTATAATATAATATAATATTATATATATATATTATATATATATGTATGTATATATATATGTATATATATATGTATATATATGTATATATATATATGTATA